AAATAGACAACTCATTTTCAAATGGTGTTGGCATTTTCTCCTCAAAATTTTGATACTATAATTGATTTTCAGAGGTACTAGATTATCCAAATGGTCAACCAAGGGGAGCTTCTTTGATCGCACAACAACAGGTTGGGAGACTCCAATTAATAGATCTGAAGAGCTTCATTGATCGCATAATAATAGACTAGAAAACTCTAGTTAGCAGAAAGAGGGAGCTCCAAGGAACGCACAACAAAAAGCTGGGAGACTCCACCTTTTTCTCCTTTTTTGGGACTCCTTATAGACATAAAATCCCACAAAAAAACCTATAAAATGTCCAAAATGACATAAATCCTGTTAATTTTGCAGGCACACCTCAAACTGTTCGATTCAACCAAACTAAGGATTGTCACACGGCTTCCTCACCAGCAGATTATGATCTGCATGATTGCTCCAAAGTAGATTCAATAGTTTCGGCGATCCTTGTCATTGACTTGTATGGATCATGCCGACGATCCTGCACAATAGTTTCTGCTAGGTCACGCCCCTGAAGGATCAAACAGGTTAGCGCAACTCATTGGGTTAAGCGCTTGCTCTACCTTACACGGTCGCGGTTTTGACCAGCTCTGTGACCCAAGGCTTTGTCGCCAACCCGTCGACCTATCAAGCATTCCAGTTTGTTCTGGCCTGCACAACACTTCCAACCATCGTACTATCATTATTAGAGAAAGAATGAAAAAAAGAATATTTCAATCCCCTCTTAGCCATAGGATTCTTATTTCTTTTTACCTACCTTTTAATAACATTTAGTTGGAGAATCTCTTAATGAGACGCTGCTTTCTAAGAGATGAAAGTGGAAAAAAATAAATAGCACATCAAAAGGGCAAAAAAGTTATTCATAGTTTTGTTTTCAAAAATATAAACCAAATCAAATATTGAGTTCAAGATAGGACACTATCATGAAAAACATATGAACCATTTAATCATTTTACACATGTTTGCTATGGTGTCTCAATGATGTAAGAAAATTAAAAAACTAAATGTACCCTAACCAGCCAACTTAACAAACCAATAATGACCATAAACTCATCAACTTTTCGAAAAAAACTGAAGTTATCAAGGCGCCTAAAGTTTAACCACTCTCATATAAAAAGATAAAATCAAGTGAATCAAGATTTTTTTAACCAATTAACTAAATATTGAGAACTAAATTTTCCTCCAAAAAATAAAACACATTGCAAATAAATAGGAATGCTCCCTCCATTCGAAGAAAATAGGTATCATTAAGAATTACTATATGTTTCTTGCAACGCCAAAATAATCAAAAAATAACCTCCATTGTGTTATTTCAGGGTTATTTAAGTGGAACTGTAGATGTTACTTACCGGATTCAGCAAAAATTTAAAGAGGCATTTACATACATAGCACACAATTCTTATGCATTTAGATATCTCACCAAACATTTCATATTTATCACTTCTAATATATATTTTTATTAAACGAAATACATCTTTTTAAGATTAACGCAATATATGTGAGATATAAATAAATACAGGAGAATTGTCTACGACTGTAAATTTCCTAAATTTAAAATAAAAATTCTCCCAACCCTGAAGCAATGCTACATCCGAAAATTTAAAGATTTATACGGTTCGTATGACGTATGTTCATTAATCCATTAGGCTAACAGGCACTAATCTTTTAGTTGACATTTATCTAAAACCAATCTCTACGGAGATGCTAGCAAACCAATCTCTCATTTTGGAGTTAGATATGTAAATATTGGTGGTAGTTACGAGAATTTAAGTCTATGTTTATAAGACTGGAGATCAACTTGTAAATAAATAAAATGATACTAACCAGACATGAATTTTCTATTCATATGAAACAACAAACAAAGGCAAGCATCCAGAAAATTCTAAAACTTAACATATACCATTGAAGATAAATCAGAATGCCGATTGTGTTTAGGGTTTACTACCAACACAGATTGTATAACAATGGTGATACCTACCAGACTTTTACTAAAATATATTTTAATTAAAAAAAAAAAACTCATCAAAAAGTCATTTTCTATAAACATCAAAGATCCACCAACTTCTAGAGGATAAAATATTAGGTACAGAGTTCAAGAATCGGCGCAGGTGTTAGGAAGCAATTGGTCTCGAATTTCAGTTGAAGAAACTGTGGGCATGGAGATCAGCAGGTTGAGCACAAGAGACATCAAAAACAAAAATGAAGGAGGTTCGAAGCATTATGTTGGCTCCCCTATCAAGACCCGAAACAAGGGTTAAACCCGAACTTGCAAATAGCAGCATACGAAATTCGCCGACATGATGAGGATGATTCGATTCGTCATCTAAGATGGGTGGTAATTGTGAAAATGTGGCTGTGGATAAGAATTTCCCCTATTTAGGAGAGATAAGGAAGGTATGGGTGTCAAACTGTGAAACATTCATTGCAGGTAGTACAAGTACTAGCTCCATCTCACCCAATTGCATTAGTGAGAAGATGTGACAACCAGGTGTTTGTGAAAATGCCGCTGATGACCAGTGTCCTATTGCCCCACAATTTCTCACGCAGCTTCAGTCTAGCACTGGAATGGGGACTACCCAAGAAAATTTGCAGGATAACAGGATCAAGTTTGGAGAACTACAACTTTGGAGAACTACAACAAGCTTTGAGAACTACAACAAGCTTTGCATGACAAAAAACAACCAGAACAGAATGCTTTGCAGAAACCAATTTATATACTAGTCACGACGAATGAAAACACCAAGGATTTCATTAGTGCCAATCGGACTGTTAAACTTAATAATATGGTATGCGAGAAGCAAAATATACAGAAGTTCGAAGACGCTCTGGTGGGCATGATATTGGGAAGACATGTTCCTTTGTCTATTTCAAGCCTGGAACTTAAGCGCAAATGGGACCAATTTGGACACATCCAAATTCCCCCGGTGCAAAATGACTGTTTTGTTGGCATTTTCAACGCTTTTGAAACCAAAGATGTGGTTCTTCCCAGGGAAACATAGTCTGTAGCAGGACACATTATAGGGCTTGATATATGGAGGACTAATTTCTCACAGGATTCTCTTAGTGGTTTCTCGGCACCAATCTGGAACAGACTACCGCAACTTCCTCTCCTCTATTGGCATGGTACCAATGTCCCCCATATAGCAGCAACAGTGGGACAGCCATTATGGTTGGATACCAATACCAATTTGTGGGGGCGAAATGTGTATGCTCCAGTATGTGTTAAACTCGCCTTCAGAAATTGAAAGCCGGGACACGGGTTTTGGGGGTCAAGGGTGAATTTTATCCAAGGTTTGAATATGAAGGGATCTCACATCTCTTCTTTAACTGTCACAAAATTAGTCAAAAGCTTAATCAAAGCAAAGAAGCTCCGCATCGTGATGAAGGGTCAAACAGGAACAATATTGGGAATTCTCTTTTGTCGGAGCAACCAAATATGAGCATGGCCAATGTTCATGGCCCTCTTAATAAGGGTTTAGAGAGCACTTCAGGGCAGGATGGAAAATTGGACGGAGGTCCATTATAATATCCAGGAAGCCGCTCCACTTTCAGGGACCGAGAATATTGTGCAAGATATTAATGTGTGTATGAACAGTGCCATCTGCAACTCACGGGTTGGCAACCAACGTAGGTTTAATGCTGTTAGCGGAAAAGGGATCTCGGAATTTGAGCTGGGACCATGGACTTGGGTCTCAAGGGGACGGAAATGGCCAAGGATACTAAAATGAATGATAAGAGGAGCTTGTTTCACTACAATAAGGATAGAGATGAGAGTGCGGAGAGTCTTTGACACAAGCCGAACATGCTCATCGGCCACCCGATGAAGATTCAGACTTGATTCTAAGAAATAATTTGAGTGAGCTCCCTATAGGCATGAAAGATCCAACCATCCAAGGCTACACGTAGTCTTCTTCTAGATCCAATCCAACAGATTGCTAAGGGATTTGGTGGCACCAAATCACAAGTTGGTAAGGAAGGAGTCTCCAAAGCTCATTTTGGAGCAGCTTCATTTAGGCCCGGTGAAGATAAAAAGTTCAAAATGCAAGAAGAATGAAGAAAGAAAGGACGTCAGGATCGTGCCCCCTTTAGTTACCCAATGACGCCCATCCTTTTTTAGAATTCTTGGGATGTCTGCAAAAAGGCTACGGGCAACTATCTCAAGCACTAACTGAAGAGAACAATTTGTTCTTCGTTGGTCTCGTTGATACAAGAATGAATTAGCTCAATCGTAAAGAAGTTGGCATCACCGCTGGAAATAAGTAGATTTCACCTTTCAACCTTCAGTGGGCGGGTAAATCAGATGGATCATTGTGTTGTGGTGGAGAGAGATTATCTTTTTTAGAGACGAGTTGATGCACAATCAAGTCATTATGGGCATATAATGAGCACTTTGTTCGATGAAGATTGTGGGAAGTTATGTTCCACTGATACGATATTCAATTACCAACCATTGTTGGAGGAGATTTTAATTGTATTATGTCAAAAAATGACCAAAAAAAAGGAAAGAAGTTCCTGCATAGTAGTGGGGTCCATGTCATTATGCTCAAAGGTTTGAACATTAAGATAGCTCTCAAGTGGAGATCCATGCCGTCGCAGCCATACAAAGCATTTGCAAACCATGGAAGTTGGAGTGCAAAGGTGTTTTCATTGAAAGGGACAACATTAATATCAACAATTTTTTGAGGGCTACATTGGAGAGAAAGCATAGGCAAAAATGATTACAAACTCCACTAGATTTAGTTTTTCTTACATCCATCAAATAATTGTTGTTCATTCATAACCCCCGCAAATGCAACAAGACAACCCATTATTGTGCTCAGCTTACCGTCCAAGTTTCTTTTGTTTTAAAACATGTAAATGATAGGTAACACTTTTGTACACGAAGGTGCAAAAATAAAAAGGAACATCAAAATATGAAAAAACAATTTAACTACGCAAACCAACTTTAAATAATAAGAACGGATGCTGAAACTCAAACAAAATAAGTCCAAGAAAAAACCACAGTATACTTAAATTCAACATTTGAGGATACAAAAGTGTTGCGGTTCAAGACATAGAAGCATGAAACATAACTTGAAAATTAAAACCGGATAAATTGCTGAAACGAGGACCACCAGCTCATGGGCGAACAGGAGCGGCACCAGCAGCACCAGGGCGAGGTGGCCCTCCTTGAGCAGGTCTTCCAATTTCCTCCTGCAAAATAAAATTTGAATTAACTCAAATTAAAATGATAATAGGAAAATAAACAACCCTAAAATCAAATCCACAGGAGAATTTGACCAAACAATAATTATTTGTTTGACATGCTCTACTTTTAAATTTAAACAAGCGATATCTACAGCATAAATAAGCCACACTACGAATTATAAACGCGGTTAGGAAAATCAAACTGGCCAACAAATCAAAAGAATGTGAGATTCAAGGTTCAATGATCCAACCAAAATTAAAATGATGACATAATATATAATATAATTATTTAATAAAATTTTAAAAATATAATTATGAAATAATAATAATATTGTTTTATAGATTACATAAATAATATTTAAATTTAAGACAACATTTTTTAATATTTTAGATAATTTTTTAAAATAAAAAATTATTAAAAAATTATAAAAAAAGATATTTTTTATATTTTTAAACTAAATATTTTATTTCTAGCCAACAAATCAAAACAATGTGGGATTAAAAGTTCAATGATCCAAACAGAGTCAAAATGATGACATAATAAATGTTAAAGCAATTTAATATAATGTAAAAAATACAATTAAAACATAAAAATAATAATAATATTATCATAGATTACATAAATAATATTTTAATTTAGGACAATGCTTTTGAATATTTTGAATAATTTTCTATGATCAAAATTATAAAACATGATAAGTTTTCTATTTTTAATTTAAACATTTTATTTCTAATCATTCTATCAAAATCAAAAGAATAAAATTAAACAATATTTAAAGAGGGCGATTATTAAGAAATCACACTGTTTCACCAGTTTGTCGGTTTAACCTCATTTGTGACCGGTTCTATGGAAGAAATAGTAATATGTTTGGATCGAATCAATTGAATGACCAGTTCACGGTTGTACAGGTGAGACTGACCGGGCCATGCCATTTTTAAATTATAAATAATAATAAGAATTCTATATACAACCAATGGCATTGCTAAACACATTCATATTTTGTTGGTATCGACTAATATGGTCAGCGTAATTAAATTAATTATCCCATATAATTGCTAAGATAATAACTAAACAAGATTGATAGATAGTCTCTATCGGTGGGTTCATCTATGCACCATGTCAAAGTAACTCATTCGATTCAGATAAAAAGAGTAGCCATCGATGGATGCCATCAATAGAACTACCGGATAATAAAATGAGGTGATTTTTATTAGGCCATGACGAACTAAAATGATTGTTCATCAAGCAGTGAGGAAATTCCACTGCTACAAAACAAAAGATACCTCGTATTTGAGAAGAAAGCTTAAGAAATAAAAGCAGAGAAGTACAAATGTGAACAAACTGGAGCTGATAAGCTACGAAATAAATTAGTTATTGTCGTCATGAAAATAGTCCCACATTTTTCCAAAATATATTGCCAATCTAAGCTTTTGTTGACACGTATAACATACAAAGATGGTCCAATAAAGCATATATGAGAGATTGAGATTTGTAGTCCAACATATAGTCATATTTGATTGCCTAAAGAAAGTATATTGCAAAGTAATAGAACTTAAATTTCACAAAAGCCCAAAAAAGGTCCTTCCAGAAAGATATAACTAATATTCATGCATTATCTATTATCGAATAGACCATGATTCAGTCACTTTCCCTGATTTTTAAATATTGAGTAACATAATTTAGATATAGAAATTATTCCCATGATGCGTTAGATTCAAAACAGAGCCCAACAACTACTTCAAATTATGAACAGCTTAAGCTAAATATATACATTAGTTGGAGAGTTGCTTTTATCCTGAAGCTTTCTTTTTCTGCTATATAGCACAGATTGACCATATTACGTTTCAAATCAATCATACCTTTTACAATGATCAAAACTTTAAACAACAAAATGCTTGTGGAATGTACAATGTAGGATAACCATATAGTTAGGAAATAGCACTCGAAACATTTCTATTTCGAAACCAACAGCCACGCAATTTTTCTTAAATGTCAAAGGAGTAAAAGAAAATGCATTCATCAAAGCTAACAATCTAAGATAATGCACACAAAATATTTGAATAAACAACAATTTATTATGCTAATCCTTAACAGTTGGACAAAGGCTAAAGGTGTTGATGAGAAAATAATAGTAGTAAATTAAAGAATATAAAACTTAAAAATGAAACCAAAAATGCAAAACACCTGAAGCTTATCCAAATATTTAAGTTGACTCGAAAGAATATAAATAAAGATAAACCTTCAAGAATAAATGGGATGCCTAATTAGATATTAAAGAGTTTTGAAGCTAGAATAATATGGTTGACCTATTCGTTTTAATAAAATTTTATTGACTGAAAGCAATGACAATATTTGATTAAAGAGTAGATGTTTTAAAAAAAGCATTAAGTTTAGAATTGGGCACTTATTTGGAAGTAAAATGAGTAATCCGATAGAAGTGAAAGAAGAGGGTGATGGAATAACCAGGAAAATCACAATCCACAAAGACTCAAGTTGAATCATACAAAGATAACTTATGGAATAATTTCTGTGCAAAAATAAGTAATGAAAAAATTATTTATAAAACCAAAAAGCATTAAATTGTTTATTGATTTAAAAAAATGATTACCAAGAGACAAATTAATTAGACATAATTCAGGAGGCTCTCAAGTTTAAGTAATATTGAAGATTGATTTGCCAAATCAAATAGCAATGAAGACTTTATTGCAAAAATCGGAAATTGAAATATTTAAATAAAAAAGGGGCCACAAGAAGATCAAAAAGAGAAAATATCAATAGAACTTCTTAATATTCACTCTAATTCATTGATATATTTAGAGCTAACCAAACTTTAAAGGAGGGGAGTCAACAATTGAAGTTCATATGTTCTAGTTTCATGTAAATTTTGAATGAACCATACAAATATTTCTGAATGAAAATTGCTTTCCGTCCCAAAAGTTTCTATCAGCTCCCCCTGTCCCTATCTATTTGCATCCAAACACTGCAAAAACTTCAAGTCACCCTTTTCTTCTCAAAATAAAGCAATCAACTTTAATCATATATACTTCCCACTGATTCATATATATATATATATATATGTATATTTATTTATTTATTTATTTATTTTGCATCAGACCATGTTTATGATCAAACTTAAAGACTGTATAGTGTTTACAGTGATTTTAGGGGTGAGATCAATGAGTAAGAGAAGAAATTTAAAGGCCTCTTCAATATCCAAGAATAGTCAGACAAGTAAAGGGCCCATCAAATGGCCACAATGATGACCAACTCTGAAGTCCTTATTGCAAAGGTGTGGCAGCATCACCATCTGACCAACAACATCTATCCAAACAAAAAGAAGAGGCTTCTAATTTGCATGGAATCAATCAACAAAGAGAAAAACTAAAGATATGATCAAATTCATTGCAATTTACAATTGATACAAGCATCTTGGAGCATAGTTCTTGATTTATGATAATCCTAATAAAAAGATTGCATATGTTTGTTTGAAAATGACATCATAAACAAATATATGATGGAACACGTAAACAAAAAACTACGATCTGTCCACCTTAACATAACTAAATTTAAAGAATAAGAAGGATAATCGAAGCAAGATCACAAGCAAAGTGTACAAAAATACAAAACAAAATTTAGAAGAAAAGCAGCTACTTTAAAATTTTAGTGAAATAAAAATTTTGTATTAATGAATTATGTTGCAAGGCTTTAGGAAAAAAGTCAAATAGAATTGAATATTATTTCAGTTGTTAAAGCTCTCAAAGCTAGTGCAAAAGATAAAGCACTCGAGAAAAGAATTAGATATCTTCCATAAGACAAAAAAATAATTGCTTACAGCTACAAACAAAGAGAATGTTGAAGGTCAACTACAGATAAGCAAGACACTAGACAATTGTCATCACCGCGAAAAACTTGAGATAAAAGATTAAGGATTGCTAGAATTGATATCCTAAGAATAAGTTGAGATGGGAATATATGTAAAAAAATTCACTACTATATAAAAAAAAGAAATTACTGTGGGAATTTAAAGGAATATCGTAACTCAGCCTTGATGTTCCACCTTAAGCTTGAATTGAAGTATAACCTCACGGAAGCTATTTTGGATCAGGGAAAGAATTTCTTCACTTCAATTATTTGTTATTCAAAACCAAATTCTCTAAGTTGGTTTTAAAAGGATAATGCTTGTCAAGTCATTAAGCAATCCACTCTAAGGTTTTCTTTCTTGAGAAATTTCATTTAAGATATACTTTATGAAATCATAGCAATAGAGCAATGTGATGTACAAAATGATATCCCATATATGTCGGATAAATATGCTACCCCCTTCAGAAAAAAAAAAAAGTTTCATGCTTATAAAGGACAAATATAGCTTGGTGATTTGTTGTTCCAACTGTAAAGGGGATAGAAAAGACCATCAAATTCAAGCATCCGAACTAGATATCAAAAAACTTATTCTTAAAAAAAATACAAAAAAAACATCATCAAAATGAAGGAAAAATGAGCCATCACAAAATGTTTAAAAGCACATGGCTACAAAGAACATAAAAAGAAATAATACATTTAAGACGCAACAAAAGAAGAGGAAAAATTCTTATTAGCAAGAGCAAAAAAACTAAAAATGGAAAACTATGATAAAAAAGTCTCTTAAGAATATTTGCATAATTAACCTTGAATAATTTGCAAATATGAATAGACTATAATAAGGTTAACTTATGTCTTCAAGTTTGTTTTGAATTTTGAATAAATTCTAAACATTTATTAGGATTCTATAAATAGAAATTAAGTTATTAATCTAAGATAATGCACTGGTTGAATGAAGACTGCTTCATAGTTCAAAAGATCACAAAATCACCCTACTGCAATACTTCTGAACCGTCGCTTTTGTCATATATTTTTTATTATAGATTGATAGCCCCACCAGCTCTCCCACTTCCTCTTTGATCTGCCCTTGAAGCTTTACAGTTACTCAAGGACTCCCTTTTCCTCCCTGGTTAGATTGCCACTTAAAACAACCAAAGGTTATTGTTGTGCCATTTTTCCACCAGTAAAAGCAGATACATTCATTGTTTTAAGGCAGAGAAGTGAGGAGAGTCCAGTTATAATTCAAATAATTCCATAAAAATCCAAATACATTGACATGAATACTACCATACCAATTCCAATGCCTTTAGCACCGGATTCTGAATCAAGAACATGGGGCAACACAAGCATAAAGAGGAAAACATGTATCAATAATGCATTAAAGTTGTCAGATGGATGTATGATAAGATGATGCTTACTATCATAAGGGATTGTGGAGAGAAATAAAAAATGATTGTAGAAAAATATTGGAAATTCAAAGTTTTATTTTAATTGGTTATAGAGATGCTTTCAAAAGATGTTCAAGACACTTGCACGCTCTTCTCAAAAGTCATTTTAATATAAAAGCCCGCTTCTATTGTTTAGGAGAGGTTAAAATTATTAAAATAAAATATTTAGAAAAAAAACGGATTTAAGATTAATAAAACGAAATCTTAAGCTTGTGAGAAATTTTAATAATAATGGAGTTGGTAATTAGCAATTTATAATAATGAAAAATCAGCTAACACCAATATGAGATATATTCAAATATCATAGATCCAATAAATGAATGAATGGGGTGACAAACTCCATTCATATGTATCACATGAATAATACAAAAAACAAGAATGAAATCGAAAGCATTTGTACATGAATGAAAAGAAATAAAATACGTAAAAAAGTACGATGCAACATAAAACAAAGGAAAATACAAAACTCTACACAGTAAATTTCACAGAAGTGGAGTTAGACAAACTATTCAAAGTGAAGATTGAAAAATCACGAGGATTAAAATCAAGCACGAAATATAAATGTATGATGATGACAAAACCAAGTATAATAAAACAATAAGTGATAATATAAATGCAATAAAGAATGACACACATTGAAGATAAGATGGTAGAAAATGCTTAAATTCTTTAAAGAATAAAGTTTAATTTCTTTATTGACAAGTAATCATTGAAAAAAAAAGGCATCATGAATTTGGATCTGAATCAGAAAAAAGTAATCAAAAATATCAAATGAGAGATCAAATACCCTGCGTCTGAACCTCTGTGGAGGCTCACGAACCCTCCTGGCAGTGCGGGATCGAACCCGTACAACATGAGAGTGAATAGCGCAGGAAACACAGTACTGGACCTTAGCGTAGAGCTTTGGAAGGGTATAATCTACAACAAAAAATTTTGATTAGCTAAAAAGTTGATAGAAAAAAATCAAGATAATATTGAAGTCGCAGCAATACTTTCATAGACACAGGCCTCCTGCACATCCCTCACGGCAGCTTGCTCCACGATATTCCTCACCAGAAACCTCTTGATAGCTTTATCCTGAGAAAAAAAGTAGAAAGATAGCAGAGCTCTGCGTCAAACTCGCACTCTACAGATCACACTCAAATCATACGAACAATTTCATGATGCAGAGCAATTGCAAACAAAAAGGAAACGAGCCATAAATCTTTCTTTCACCAGATCACAACTGAACCAGCTATCTGGATTTTTACGCAAGCGTGACATGATGAAAAAAAAAATGTTATAGAATTGGGAGCACCTTGGGGCAGCATTTTCCACAGTTGGAACAGCGAATAAAGTTGACGTGGCCGCGGCCGTGCTTGTTGCGGCCACCATTTCTGCGCTTGAACGTCTATGTAACAGTACAGGAAATGAAAACCCAATTAGCTGAGTTATACGAAATAGGATAACGGGACAAAGATCTACCATTGCCGTCGGCTATATTGTTCTTCTGCAGAGTGATCCTCCCGCCGCAGTATTTTGCCTTTGGTTAGGTTTTCAGCCCACGATGCCGGAGTTTATAAAGCATGCGAGTCCTGCACAAAAACATATATCCAGTTTGCTTAATACCTAAAACTAAAAGGAAGATTTACATGCATACCACTCGCAACTCTTAAAGGGGATGTTTAGGCTAAATCCTGCCAAACAGAAAAATGCCTCTCCGTAAATCCTGAGATTTGGTAAACCCTAAAATGACGCCGATTCACCGTAAATCCGGGATTTAGTAAATCCCGTGAATCTGCGGACTTAATAAATCCGGGACGAGCGAAGAGTAGGCATGGCGCGAACAGGCTTACCTTCTGGTAGGAGCGGAGCGGAAGGAAGAATGTAGGCTAGGGTTTCGGGCAGAGAGGGGAAGTGATGAATAAATACTTTAACTAATTTAATTTTTTAATAATTAATAATTAATTTATATAATTGCAAATTAATTATAATTAAATGATGCTGGATCAGCAAGGAGCCCTCCCATTATATCAATTTAGAACTTATTAAAATAACAAATAAAATTTTCAACTTTAACATTTTAATTTCTTTTAAAATAATGGTGAATTTTAGATATAATTTTTTAAACAAAATTTTTTTTTAAAAGGTTAACAATCACTACAAATTAATGATTGTAATTTTAAGCAAAGGTTTAAATGAATTTTTCAAAATTAAGTGATGTATTTACTTTTCAAAGTATGAGAAGTCAAAGAAGGGGTGATCACATGCGGGGAGAAATTTTCAATGTGTTTTTATCCTCTTTTATAGTATTTTGTTTATAACCCGTAGTTTTAATAGAAATAAATTTTTTTTTATCTTCGATTAAACTTACAAATATAATGACGTTAGACTAATTTTTTGATTTATATGTGAATAAGCGCCCGTTTAGGTGGGGATGGGGTGTCGTTTCGCCAACGGCGCGACAGCCTTGTTGCATTTGGTGGGCGGCGCGACACGTTTTTAATAAAATGTAGGCCATGAATTTGACCCCGTGACCCGCATTTCTTTGTCTTATTTTGACGCAATTGCACCTGGCTTTGCATATCGGATAGACCCCGCGTCTTCTACCCTAACCGTCCCACTCTCACAATTTCTTCGCGTCTTCTGCCCTAACTGCCCCGCTCTCGTATTTTTTTCAAACATCTGTGTTTCTTCCTTTGGTATCTTTATCCCTTAGCCACATTGGTCTCTTCATGAAATTGCTTGATGGTTTTTATGAGTAGCGCCCATTTGTTTAGACTGTTTGGTTTATGTTTTCTTCATGAATTTGAATGATATTTTTGTTGGTATTTCGTGATGGTTTTGATTGAGAATTTGAGGTGCAGAGAATGAGTGAGGATTTGATTGGTATGCATGTTGTGTGTTGCTGGAGAAAGAGCCTTATAAAATTTGCTCTGAAATGAAAGAGTTAAATGGCCTCAATTGAAAATGAAATCAAGTTTCGCCTTGTCACATATTTAACTATTTATATGATGGACTGATTAGTGAATGTACAATAGAAAAAACTTGTCACATATTTAAAAGTTTTTCACATGATGGGGCGTAATGTTTTTTTTCCTAGTATAGTGTTTTTAAACATGTGCAAGAAAAAAAAATATTCTTTTCTCTAAACTCAATTGATAGAGGATAACTATCTCACATGCATTTCATTTACATGTTCCAACTAGCATGAAGGGATCATGTATGGACCCATTAAATTACAAAGTGTGATATTTACACTTATAACACCTCAACATCACAAATATATGCATGAAAGTTGTATATCACTTTTAAAGAGGCATTGATGGTGGTATTTTTGATATGATAATAAAGATTTGATTGGCATATATGTTATGTGCTGTTAGAAATTGAGCCTTATAAAATTTAGCTATGAACTGAAACTGTTAAACTGCCTCAGTAGGAAATGAAACCAACTTTTACAGTTCTTTTTTCTGTCTAATTTTTCATATGGTAGATTGATTATTGAATATATGTTAGAAAAATCTTAGCGCATATTTAAAACCTTTTCACAGGATAAAGTGTAATATTTTTTTTTCCTAGTATGGTTTTTTCAAACATGTGCAAGAAATAAAAATAGTATTTTCTCTAAACTCAATTAATAGAGGATAATTGTATTGCATGCTTTTCATTTACAAATTTCAACTAGCATGAATGGACCATGTATGGACCCATTAAATTACAAAGTAAGATATTTACACTTACAACACCTCGACATCACAAATATATGCATGAAATGTGTATATCACTTTTAAATAGGCAGTGATTGTGGTATTTTTGATATGATAATAAAGATTTGATTGTTATACATGTTTGTGCTGCTGTAAATTAAGCCTTTTAAGATTTAGCTCTGAGAGTTAAATTGCCTCAGTTGGAAATGAAACCAACTTTCACAGTTCTATTTTTTTGTCTAATTATATATATGGTAAACTGATTACTGAATGTACAATAGAAAAATCTTGCCACATATTTAAAACCTTCTCACTGGATGGAGTATAATATTTTTTCCTAGTATGATTTTTTAAAACACGCACAAGAAATAAAAAATATTCTTTTCTCTAAATGCAATTGATAGAGGATAATTATCCTTCAAAATTTTCATTTACATATTCCAACTAGTTTGAATGGACTCATCAAACTACAAAGTTTGATATTTACATATACAACACCTTGGTATCACAAATATATGCATGAAAGGAGCATATCACTTTTTAAAAGGCAATGATGGTGGTATTTTTGGTATGATAATAAAAATTTATCTGGTATGCAGGTTCTATGCTGCTAGAAATTGAGCCTTATAAAATTTACCTCTGAAATGAAAAATAATTAAATTATCTCTGTTGGAAATGAAACCAACTCTCACAGTTCTATTTTTTTGTCTTAATATTTATATAGTAGAAATATTATTGAATGTACAGCAGAAAACTTTTGCCACATATTTAAAACCTTTCTCATGATGGGGTGTAATAATTTTTTTCCTAGCACGGCTTTTTCAAACATGTGCAAATAATAAACATATTCTTTTTCTCTAAACTCAATTGATAGAGGATAACTATCTTGCATGCTTCTCATTTACATATTCCAACTAGCATAAATGGATCATGAATAAACTAATCAAATTACATAGTGTGATATTTAAACTTACAACACCTTAGCATCACAAATATATGCTTGAAAGGTGTATATCACTTTTAAAGAGGCAATGATAGTGGTATTTTTGATATGATAATGAAGATTTGATTGGTATGCATGTTATGTGCTGCTGGAAATTGAGCCTTATAAACTTTAGCTTTAGAATGAAAGAGTTAAATTACCTCTGTTGGAAATGAAACCAACACTCACAGTTCTATTTTTTCTGTCTAACTATTTATATGGTTGATTGATTACTAAATATGCAATAGAAAAATCTTGTCACACATTTAAAACCTTGTCACATGATGAGGTGTGATATTTTTTTCATGGTACAGTTTTTTTAAACATGTGCAAGAAATAAAAATATTATTTTATCTAAACTTAATGGATAGAGGATAAATATGATGCATGCTTTTCATTTACATATTCTAACAAGTATGAATGGACCATAAATGGACTCATCAAATTTCAAAGTGTGATATTTACACTTACAACACCTTGGCATCACAAATATATTCGTAAAAGGTGTATATCACTTTTAAAGAGGCAATGATTGTGGTATTTTTGATGTGATAATAAAGATTTGATTGATATGCATGTTATATGTTGCTAAAAACCGAGCCTTATAAAATTTAGCTCTGAAATGAAAGAGTTAAATTGTCTCAGTTGGAAATGAAACCATTTTCACAGTTCTAGCTTTTTTGTATAACTATTTATATGGCAGATTGATTACTGAAAGAAAAATAAAGAAATCTTACCACATATTTAAGACATTGTCACATGATGTGGTGCAATATTTTAGTTCATAGTATGGTTTTTTCAAACATGTAAAAGAAAAAAAAATATTATTTTCTTTAAACTCCATTGATTGAGGATAACTTTCTTACATGGTGTGGTGGTTTGCCCTTACCCGCTTAATGTTGTGGTGTGGTGGTTCGATTTTAGTGGATTTGTTTTTGAAGTGTTGTTATTGCGGTGGGATTTGCATCTATGAATGGTGTTATGGTGGGGTTTTCATGTGCGACGAGGAGAGTTTATGGGAGGAGTGGTGATTTGTGTGCTTGTGTGTGTAGTGTGGACGTGTTATTGTTGTTTGTTGGGAGGTGTGGAGGGTTTAGGAAGGTGTGATGGTGTGTGTGGTGTGGATGTACTATTATAGTTGGTTGGGTGTGTGGAGGGTTTATGGATGTCTGGTGGTTTGTGTGGTGGTGTTATGTGTATGTGTTATTGTAGTGTGTGTTGGTGTGTGTGGTGGTGTGGTGTGTGCATGTGCATACATTGTGGCATTTTTATTTATGTAACTTTGATTTTTCATCATATTAATACAATGGTTAAGACCAAAGAGATATGTACACCCGTAATGTGGGACAAAGAAACAAAAATAATATTTTGTGATATTTGTCTTAAGGAGATAGATTTGGGAAATAAGCCTACAATATATTTCAATAAGGAATGGTGACAAAATATTATCAAGACACTCGAGGAAAGTACAGACAGAGAGTACAATAAGATGCAATTAAAGAACAAGTGAGATCAACTTAAGAAGGATTAGAAAATTTGGAATGAACTGAAATGAGAATCAACGGGTCTGAGGTGGGATCCGGTGAAGCAAACCGTTGATGCTTTCGAGGAGTCATTGATCCCAGTGAAATATAGTTGTGTAAAATCTATAAAGTTGACTCTGCTTTACAACAAAGCCAAAAATTTGATGTTGTATTTTATGAATAATAACGTTAAACACTTAATGTTGGGATTCTACGCAAGTATACATATTATTATCAAGTAATATAAGACTTTCTATTTAAGAACCAAATATCGATCCCACGAGGGGAATAATGTTTAAATTTGAGATGATAAATTAACTAGGAAATTCACAGAAATAAAACAAAATTACTGTCACTAATTTTGAATGTTTTAAATACTATCAAAACTAAATTATTAACAACTAGTAAAATCTAAATGCAAAGAATCTAAATGCAAAGTTAAAAATAGTAACTACTAAACTATATTTATGTGATGAAATTTTCTTATATGAAAAATCATTTTTCCCACTACAATGAGCTTTTGGTGAAATGAGATGAGATAAATGGTCTAAATTTATATTATGCCAAATAGAAGCAATTTTAATTCTCCACCCTGA